CACTTCCGCCACCTCATTCTCCCTCCGCCGCCAGCTTGTTCCTCACGCTCGATTGCAGTCTAGTAATTCCCCTTCTCTCTCTCTCTCTCTCTATCTCTCTGCTTTCATTTCTCGATGCATCTAAACCATTCGTTGTATTGCCTCAATGAGATACTTCATTTTATAGTCAAGATATTGATCGTGAGTCTTTAAGGGTTCTTTGTTTCTGTGGTTGGATTTGCTGGGCTGTGTTCTTTGTTGGGTAATTTTAGAGTCATAGGTTTCTGAGGATTCTTTGATTCTTGCTTCGAACCCACAAGTAGATCGATGGCACTTCGATGTTTGATGGGTTAATTCCCAACATAGTTGTTGGCTTTATTTAATGCTGGGTGGTTTTGGTATGCATAAGTTGAATGTGGAAGAATATTGGAGCAAAATTGACGATGGTTCTCTAAGTAGTTTCTTTTTCTGTGTGCTTATAAGGAGAAACAATGTAGAGACCATTACGATAATAGCAGTGCAAGCAAGTTTTTCACGCACATTGTAGGAAAAGCTGAGCACATTTCTATTTAGTCTTGTACTAGTATAGTTGTTAATTTGTTTAAGTAGTTTTAATCATGATTGTTTGATATCTATGTTGCGATGACAATTATCACAAGAATAATATTCATTATTTAATGTACTTGACTAAGGTCCCATTACAGATGAGGTTCGTTCTGTAACTCAATAATTACTGTATACTCTTGTTTGCATGGTCTGAAAATCTTCTCTCCTACAAAGAAATGTCAATGGCATCTGCCACAGTGCCATGCATGATTGCCAGGAACAGAATACATATACTTGCATTCACAGTTTACAGTTTGCATAAATCAACACAAAATGTCAGAGGGCTTCGGTTTGCAAACTGTTTATTTGCAAGACCAGAAAGATTTAATAGTATAGAAGGTCTGATTTTGTGTAGAAGGGTCTAGATAGGAAGGTGACATAGAAAATCCAGATCAAACTGGTGAGAAGAGTTAGATAATAATGTTGTATAAGTAAATCCTAACCTTAATTGTAGTTAGGGGTACAAATTATCAGATAACCAGCCTAAAATGATATTTGAAAATTCACTTTAATGTTGATTTTTAATCTCTTATAGTTTTTCATGGCCCCCTTCTGACTGTGACTTCCTGAGGCTATTTCAGTACTAAATATCGACATCCATCATCAAATTAGCAAAGAATGAGAAATAGAAGCTGAATGAGAAGAAGAAATTAGTCCCTAGTCATACATAAGAACTAAGAAGCAGTTAAATATGTGAAGTTCACTAGTAAATGGGCGTCCTATGAAGTTCAGGTGTTACAATGTTTCACACACGCATAAGCACGCATGCGCACACACGCACTGACGCATGCACATGCGCATGCGTGCACACATACAATTCTGTTATCTGGATTATATGTCTATCATGCATCAGATTTTAAGTTTGTACTTATAATTAAACTCCTATGTCCTCTTATTTCCCAAAGACCTATGATGGAGGTCCCAGAAAACAGTTTCTTGTTCCTTCAATTTAATGCACTAACTTTGTCCCTTTCAGACTTAGTTGATACAAAGGCAACAATAGAACAGTCTGAAATCATCTTTTTAGGCACAGGAACAAGTGAAGGCATTCCTCGAGTGAGCTGCCTCACTCATCCCACAAAAACATGTGTGGTATGGATGTGTGAGCTTCTTAGATTTGCTAATAGATCTTGTTACGTTGACATATTGTTTTTGCAAACACCTTGTTCATTCATTCTAATTGTTTATTATAGGTTTGCTCAAAGGCAGCTGAACCAGGCAATAAAAATAGAAGACGTAACACAAGCATCCTTGTCCGCTATGCCAACTCTCTAGGAAGATATAACATTCTTATAGATGCTGGCAAGTATGTATGACATATGATCTCTTCTACATCTCAAGTGTCAAAGTTAATGCAAGATGGATTGCTCAAATAAAATTTGTAGTGAACAGTACTTTCAGATGCATTTTACATAATTCTTGCACTTCATTACCTGGCAACCTTAAATTGGAAACTTATTTTTATATACTAATATAGTTCTTTCATGAAAAAATTTCAGGTTTTACACACTTTTTCAACTTTGTTTCTATGGTAAAATCCTTTAGATGAGAAATGAATAATCTTCTGTTTATCCTCACATGCTTGCTATTATATGTATGTATGCTCCTACTGCACCATAATTAAAGATTATTCTGTTCCATCATCTTCTCTGTCATTTTAGCTTATAACTACTTGTTCCATCATTGGACATATCATAATCCTCCAGTGGTGGATTACCAAAGCTTTTGGTGGTTAGTTCTCCACACTAAGAATGCATAATGCATTTTTTATTTGATAGGCTGTATATGTATAAGCCCACACGCTAAAGTTTGGACTCAATTACTCTACACTTGGAAACATCACCTGAGCAAAATTGGTCTTTAGAACAGTTTAATTTTTCTAATATTTAAAACCAATTTTATTACCACTATAACAATTAAAAGAAAGGAAAGTTGATTATGACCCTAAAAGAATGGATCAAGCTCAAGCTCTAATATGGGAGTAGTATCATGGGCAAAATATAGCACCCTTGAAGCCCATAGCTTGAAGTGATAAATGAACCAAATGAAAAGCAATATTTTATACCACGTGATCTGTCAATTGATCTGTGTCTCCTTGTGCATATAATGAAGATGTAACTTCATATGATGTGCAGATTTTTCTACCATAGTGCTCTTCAGTGGTTCCCCACTTTTGGGTAAGAATCCATTTTATCCACTTCTGCAATGTATTTATACAATTAAGTATTTTACTACCATTGTTTCTCTGATCGAACTATGCTATATTTGTGTGGTGTACCTTGTCATGCTCTCAAATATATGGGACACTGTTTATTTTTTATGTTGGACTTATTGTTATTAGTACAGCTATTACTGTTATTATCATTATTGATATTATTATCATTATTGTTATTTTGCATCTATTAAATGCCAATGTGTGAACTATGCCAAAAAAAAATTCTCTTTCTTAAGGATGCAGAAGTGACTTGCTATAATCCAAGGCAGACAGTTTGCAAGTACCCAGAATAATCTCATACTTGTTTTGATGGGTCTACATGGCAAAATCTGATCAACACCATTTCTGAAATCTTTTAGTTTGAATCAAATTTGAGAGCCTAAAGTTTGATTTATAGTTTATCATTAGCTGGAATGGTGCATTTGTATATATCCGATCTCTTCTGAATATCACTTCAAAGTAGATATTAATGTTCATCCATTACATATGCAGATCCCAGAATAAGTTGATTTTCTTTCCGAATATGGATAACAAATCTGCTTACAATTATACACAACTTCCTTTTCCCTTAAATTTTCATTATTACTTTTGAGAATCAAAAACCAAAGGAATAAAAATTAAATTAAAATAGTTATATATAGATTTAAGATAGCAGTAAGACAAATTCAATATATTAATGTTGATTTGTCTATGCTCAGATCTAACAAGCTATGAAGAAAATGACAGGTCATCGCACCAACTATTCATGATACTCTTCATCCAAGACTTAAGTTGGTTGTGCAACATGAGTCAAAATTAAAAATAAATTGGCTAAACTACCTTTGGATATTAACACAACCTACTGCACTCTATCTCCAGTGTACTTCATCAATAATGTTATGGGTTTATGATGTATATAGCTGTTAGCGGGTGGGATCTGCAAGTGCCAACTTAATAACTTGTCATGGGTAATTTGTTATAGCTTATTGCACAAGTGATTTTATAGATGCACAAATTACATCTGAATGTTTTAAATTTTCATCACAATGAAATAGTGTTTTTAAGCATTTAAATGCATCCTATGTTCACCAAACATTTTATATTTAATTATAACTTCTGAGTTTACTGACAATTATATCATGCATTTGAATGTTTTGTTTTGTTTTTTTTAACTTAGTTATACCTCTGTCAGGTTGAGAACAATTGATGCAGTCATTATTACCCATTCCCATGCTGATGCAATTGGAGGTACTTTGCATGCTATCCCGGGTAGTTGATAAATACTCTATGCATATCATGGATATTTGTGAGGCCTTGTGGAAACTACCATGTCTTGCGGTGTTATTGGTCTTCTTATTTTTTTTGGAACAATATATCTTATCTAGACATTAACTGTTGTTTCATAATTTTCAAGTGGTATTCTATAGTCAAATCTCATTTCCTTTCATGTATTCATTAGCATTTAAGTCTTCAAATATTTCTGCAAGTTCTCATATTTTTATAGCTTTCAAATTTGCGATTTTCATGAGCTATAACCGATGATTTTTTACAATTATGATTCATTGCGAACAAAAGTAAATTTATTATATGTACATCAAAATTTGCGATTTTAAAGGGCTATAACCCCTGATTTTTGACAACTTTTATTTGTTTTGAATGAATGTAAATAAATTATGTGTACATCAAAATTCATGATTTTCTTAAGCTATAACCTGCGAATTTTGACAAAATTGATTCGTTTTGAATGAATATAAATAAACTATATGTACATCAAAATTCGCGATGTTCTATGAAATATAACCCATAAATTTTATAAGTTGTAGTTAGTTTTGAGCGAAAGTAAATTTATTATGTGTACATCAAGATTTGTGATTTTTATGGACTATAACCCATGATTTTTTTATAATTTTGGTTCTCTTCGAAAGAAAGTAAATTTATCATGCGTAGATCAAATTTGTGATTTTTATTGTCTATAACCATAAAGTTTGACAATTTTGGTATGTTTTGAACAAATGTGAATAAATTGTGTACATAAAAATTCACGATTTTCATGAGCTATAACCCATGAATTTGTTAACTTTTGTTCATTTTGAATGAAAGCAATATGTGTACATCAAAATTAAAATATTCATGGGCTATATAACCCATAATTTTTAACAGTTTTTCTTCGTTTTGAATGAATGTAAATAAATTATGTTTACATACACATTTCGAATGTTCATGAGCTTTAACCTGTGAACTTTTCAATTTTGGTTTGCTTTTACTGAAAATAAATTTATTATCTGTACATCAAACTTCGTTATTTTCAAGGTCTATAACCCCCGATTTTTGATAATTTTGCTTCATTTTGAAAAATTATAAATAAATTATGTGTACCTTAAATTTCACAATTTTCATGAGGCATAACCCACAAATTTTTATTAATTTTTGGTTCGTTTCAAGTAAATGTAAATAATTTATGTGTACATTAATATTTACGATTTTCATGAGCACCCATGAATTTTGTTAATTTTGGTTCGTTTTAACAGAAGTAAATTTATTATGTGTATATCAAAATTTATAACTTTTATACGTTATAACCCATCATTTATGAAAATTTGGTATCATTTTGAACAAATATAAATAAATTGTGTTTACAAAAAAGTTAGTGATTTTTATGAGCTATAACCTACGGTTTTTGCCAATTTTGGTTCGTTTCGAACGAATATAAATTTATTATGTTTACATTAAAATTTGTGATTTTAATGAGCTATAACCCATAATTTTTGCAGTTGTGATTTTTTTGGAATGAAAGTAAATTTATTATGTCTATATCAAAATTTGCGATTTTTATAAGTTATAATTCATAAATTTTGACAATTTAGTTCATTTTAAATGAATGTAAATAAATTATGTGTACATCAAAATTCATGATTTTCATGAGCTATAACCACGAATATTTCAATTTTGGTTCGTTTTGAGTGAAAGAAAATTTATCATATGTACACAAAAATTCACAATTTTCATAGGCTATAACCAATGTTATCGATAGCGGATAGTGCCATGTATCAGTGAGACATTGCTAATGCTATTTGGGATTATTGCAGCAAAATAGCGATAAAAAACATAAAATCAAATAGCGATCTAATTTAGATATATGTAAATACTAAAAAAAGATTAAAAAATCTAAAAAATCTAAAAGTGCATATTTGATTATTTAAAGAGATCCTAAACATGAAATAAACATGTAATTATCACATAATACCAAAGACGAAAGAGAAGTCAAAGAATCGTCGTCTTGGAGAAGATAAGCTGAGCGGTGAGAGGACTGTCCTAGAAGGAGTTCACGGTGAAGGAGGTGAGAGGAAGTGCTAAGTTAGGTGCGAGAGGCGGCGGAAGCACACTAAAAATCACGGGAGGCGGTGGAATATAGTGGTTAAAGGTTGGATTTAATTTAAAAAAATAAACTTCAAACCACTTTTAAATAGCAGTCAAAAAATAAATTTTGCACGCAATTGCCCGCTATCTACCGTTAGGGCGTGCTATTGGCCGCTTTTGCGAACGGAGAGCGCATATTCCACAATATGTCGTCGCTATTGGGCAATAGTATAGCGGGAAGGGACCACTAACGCTATTAGCGCCGTTATTGCGGGGCTATTTACCTCTATTTATAATAATAGCTATAACCTATGAATTTTTTTGGTTGATTTTGAAGGAATATAAATAAATTATGTAAACATCAAAATCCTCGATTTTCTTGAGCTATAGCCAACGGATTTTGTCAATTTTGTTCATTTTTTACGAAAGTTAATTTTTATGTGTACATCAAAGTTTGCAATTTTCAGGTCCTATATCTCATGATTTTTTTAATTTTTGTTCATTTTAAATGAAAGTAAATTTATTATACTTAAATCTGAATTTGTGATTTTCATGGCTATAACTCACGGTGTTTGACAAATTTAGTTCGTTTTGAACGAATGTAAATAAATCATGTGTATATTAATCTTCGGAATTTTCATGAGCTATAACCTATAATATTTTTCAATTGTGATTTATTTCAAACAAAAGTAAATATATTATGTGTACACATTAAATTTGTGATTTTAAAGGGCTATAACAAACAGTTTTTGACAATTTTGGTTCATTTTGAACAAAATATAAATAAATTATTTGTTTATCAAAATTCAAAACTTTCATAAGCTATAACCCACGAATTTTTCAAATTTGATTCAACTTGAACAAACTTAAATAAATTATGTGTACATAATTTTTTTTCTTTTCATGAACTATAACCCACGATTTTCATCAGTTTTGGCTCGTTTTGAATGAAAATAAATTTATTATGTGTATATCAAAACTTGCAATTTTTTGGAGCTATAACCCATAATTTTTTTATTTTAGTTTACTTTGGGTGGAAATAAATTTATTATATGTGCATCAAAATTTGTGATTTTAAATATACATAGCATAGATTTTTGACAATTTTGATTTGTTGTGAATGAATGTAAATAAATTATTTTGGTTCATTGTGAATGAACGTAAATATATTTATTATCTGTAGCATATGATTTTCATGAGCTATAACTCATAAATTTTGATAAATTTATTTCATTTGGAACGAATATGAATATATTATGTGTACATCAAAGTTCAAAATTTTCATGAACTTTTACGCTTGAATTTTATTAATTTTGGTTGTTTCTTACAAAACTAAATTATTATGTGTACATCAAAATGTTCGATTTTCATAGTCTATAACCAACAATTTTTAACAGTTTTGGTTCTTTTCAAATAAGTAAATATATTATGTGTATATTAAAATTTGTGATTTTCATAGGCTATAACCATGAATTTTGAAATTTTTGGTTTGTTTTGAATGAATGCAAATCAATTACGTGTACATGTAAATTTGTGATTTTCATAAGCTATGCTCCACGAATTTTTCGATTTTTCTATACATCAAAATGTATGATTTTCATGAAGTATAACCCATGATTTTTTACAATTATGGTTTGTTTCGAGCATAAGTAAATTTATTATGCGTAAGTTAAAATTTGCGATCTTCATGGGCTATAACCCATGAATTTTAACAATTTTGGTTCGTTTTGAATGAATGCAAATAAATTGTTAACATCAAAATTCATAATTTTCATGAGCTATAATCCATGACTATTACAATACTGATCATTTCGAATGGAAAAAATTTATTATGTATGCAACCAAAGTTGTGATTTTCATGTCCTATAACCCATAAATTTTAAAACTTTTGGTTTGTTTCTAATGAATGTGAATAAATTATGAGCACATCAAAATTGTGATTTTCATTAGTTATAACCCATCATTTTTGTCATTCTTTGTTCGTTTCAAACAAAAGTAAAATTATTGCACAATTTCCATCAGCTTGTACCCATGACCTCTTTGACCTTGGTTCGTTTCAAATAAAAGTGAATTTAGTATGCGTACATCAATTTTGTGATTTTCATAGATTATAACTCATAATTTTTGACAAATTTAGTTTGTTTTTAGTGAATTTTAATGAATATAAATAAATCATGTGTACACTAAAATTAGAGATTTTCATAAGCTTTAATCTACAAAGTTTGTTAAGTTTGGTTCATTTAGAACAAATATAAATTTATAATGCACATATCAAAATTCACTATTTGCATGGGATAGCCCACAATATTTTACAATTGTGTTTGTTTCGAACAAAAGTAAATTTATTACGTGCACATCAAAATTTAGGATTTTAAAGGACAGTGACCAATTATTTTTGATAATTTTGGTTTGTTTTGAACGAATGTAACTAAAATATTTGTACATGAAGATTTGTGATATTCATGAGCTATAACCCACGAATTTTATCAATTTAATGTTCATTTTAGGCGAATGTAAATAAATTACGTGTAACCAAAATTTGCGATTCTCATGAGCTATAAGCCCCAACTTTATGTATACAATAAAATTTGTGATTTTCATGTGCTATAAGCCATGATTTTTGACAAAATTGGTTCATTTTTATTGAATATAAAAAAATCATGTGCACGTTAAAATTCACAATTTTCTTGAGCTTTAACCAACAAATTTTGTTAATTTTGGTTCGTTTTAAATGAAAATAAATTTATTAAGTGTACATTAAAATTTGTGATTTTGTTCATGGGCTATAAGCCACGATTTTTTTACAAATGTGATATATTCGAATGAAAGTAAATTTATTATTTGTATATCCTTTTTTTAAAGGCTTATAATCCACGACTTTTGACATATTG